GGGGGTGGGGGAGACCGGGCGAAGCCGCGGGATGGCGGTGGGGGAGTGTGTGTCCTGATGTCACCGTGCGCCGAGGCTGGGGGTGCCGCGGGGGGGCGGAGGGCCGCGCCCGGGGGGCTGCGGCCGGGGCGCCCCGCGCCGACCCACCTGGTCCTCACCTGTCGGAGGGCCGCGGCCTCCGGGCGGTGGGACGGGGGCGAGGGGCCCGGAGGCTCCCGCCGCGGGGCAGACGCGAGGAGCAGCGGGCCGCCCCGCGGTCCCCCGCCGAGTCGCCCCCCGCTCCCGACAAACTTTCCGCGCCCCTCCCCGCGCGCAGCCCCCTCCCTCCGCGCGGCGCCGGCCGGGCTCGCACATGCGCAGTGCGGGCGGGCGCGCGGCGGGCCGGCGGCGGCGCGGCGGGGCCGGCGCGGCCTGTTAATTGGCAATTAGGGGGGAGGCCGCTGGCTGGTGCGCGTCAGCCGAGGAGCGCGCGCCCCCGCCCCGCGCCCGCCCCCCGCGCGCCGGGGAGCGGTGGGAGGCGCCGGCTGCGGCGGGCGGCGGGGCCGGGGCCGGGCGCTCCGAGCCCTCCTGCGCCCGGGGCGCGGGCCCGCTTCGCCTCCCGGCCCGGGCCGGACGCCGCCCCCACCTGCCGCCGCCCCCCGACGCCTCCCGGGCCGCCCCCCGCCCCCCGCGGCCGCCGCGGGCCGGCGGTGGCCACCGGGGAGGCCCCGCGGGGTGGGGACCGGCGCGGGCCGCGCGGAGGGGGCCTCCCGGGCGAGCAGCGCCCTGAGGGGTCTCGGGCGGCCGGTTCGCGGGGCCGCAGGGCGGAACCGGGAGCCGGGGGGGTCCCGGCGCTCGGGATCGCCCTGATAATTGGTGCTAAAGGCGCGTTGCGGGGCCTGCCCTGACACATGTGGTTCCCTAACACAGTGGCTTAATTTCTTCCAAATGTACGTGGCCCTGAATGTGTTGCCGCCTGATAGATGACCCCGCCCTGCCCGGCCCGGCGCGGCCCCGCGCCCTGGGCGCTGCTGTGCACGGGCCGCGGCGCCCGCAGACCCGCGCGGGCGCGCCCGAGCCGGGCCGGGGCGCCGGTCCCCGGGGAGGTCGGAGTCGGGGGGCCCGGCTCCCCTGCGGCCGGGCCCGGAGCTCCCGCCCCCCCCCCGGGGCTCTCCAGAGGCGCGTCCGGGCGCCGCGGGCCGGGTGGGGGAGGGGAGCGCTCCTCGGTTTCCTGTTTAAACCCTGACCCGCCGCCCGGGGGGAGGGCCGGGAGCGGAGAACCTGTTTTCATCAAATTCTGAAAATATCGAGTTCGGTTGCGGTCAAATCAAGCCCCCTAGGCCCGGGTCGACGGCGAATCTCGCCCCCTCCCCCGCAAAGCCGTTCCTTCCTCTCCTGCCCCCCCAAAATTCCCCGCTCACAGCCGACATAAAGGCCTCCGAGGTATTCTCCCGAGGGAAGAAATGGCATTTTCCCTCCCCCGCCCGCCCCCCACCCCACAGGGCTTGAGTGTCGGCAGAGGCGGCTGCCGAGGGGCTAATTTCGCGTTCCTTGTTTACGATCCGGAGAAGCGCCCGGCTCTCCCCAAATGGGCCCAGCCCGCCGCCTGCTCGGGCTGCCGCGGCTCTCCCGGCGCTGCGCGGCCCAGGCGGCGCCCGGGAGGAACCAGGCCGCGGCCACCGGCGTCCCGAGGCTGCGGGACCTGGAAAGTGCGAGGGGCTGCAGCGGGCCGGTGCAGGGCCCGGAGACCTGAAAATGGGGACCTTTCTCCTGGCGTAATGTGGGAGCCGCCGACCGGTGAGGCCTCTGTTTCTCTCTTTCGCGTGTATTTTGTCTGACCCCCGCTTTCTGCCCCCGCCCCTGCAGTGGCTGCAGTGACCTGGGGAGGGCACGAATATCCTTTGTTCGCCCGCCCCCCATTCAACCCCCCCCCACACACACACATAGGAACGCAGTTTCTGCAGAAGGACGCTCAGGGGATTCACCTGGGATATTACAAGGACCCCCCTCCCTTCGGAGGGGTGGGCCTGGCGAGGCTGGGGTACCTCCTTTGGCCTCCAGAGATCTGATTTAATATGCTGCTGTGGAAATGCCAGGGTGCTAGGGCTCGATTTGGGGTTGATGCATTCGAGACATCATCCTGAAATGTCTGTAGTGTTTTTATCAGTTGATTGTCCCTTCCTGGCTAGGTTGCTGCAGGCCGTGCCCTTCACCCCTGGGCTCATCCTCCTGAGACAGAGGAGGCAGAGAAAGCACAGCAGCAGTGGCTGGCTTTGGTGTTCCAGTTTGCTACTCTGGCCAAGGGATAAACCCGGCCCCAAACGCCAGCCCCCACCTTCCCTCCTTACTTTCGATTTTCTTTCTCTTCTTTCTCTCCCTTTCTGGTGCTCAAACAGAAGCACAAGAGGGGCCACCAGTGGCAACCCTCAGCCTCCTTGCAGGCCAAATTCCCTGTAGACTTGGTCCTGAGTGCAGAGGAGCTCTGCTGTGATTATCTAATAATAGCCAGGGTGCTGAGAATAGAATCTGGCTCAAGGCCTCTGCACACCCAGGGCTAATGCTGGGCAGAGACACGGGCTCTCTGGGTCAGGGTCTGCAGCACTCCCTGCAGCCCAGGGCCCCCAGCATTGCCCTCTGAACCCACCCTTTGGGCACCCTCGGACTGCCCCTTACGGCTTTGTCAGCCCTGCCATCAGCTGTATTTCATGCGCCAGTTCCTAGCTAAGGAGAAATGGGCAGAGCAAACCCTTTCTCTCCCTGGTCTGACAGTTGTGAGCCCCACGAAGAATGTGACCTTGTTTGGAGAAGGCGGCCTGTTGTGTTGGCTGTTGTGTTCCAAAACCAGGCTTAGTAGCTTTCTGCATTTATTATATACAGGCTCAAATGCACAGATGCAGACTTCCGCACGAATATATGCAGATACATATTTCCTTGGTGGTTAATTGTGTATTACCATGCCTATATTCGCTCGAACACCGTGTTATATGCATGTGAAATTTTGTTAGCTCTCAATAGAAGCAAGTGAGCTCAAGGAGGCACTGGGCACTCCAGGAAGGCCCTCTTGCATGCTCTGTTGGAAGTGTGTGCTTGCTGGAATCGGAGTATGCGGGTTCCAGGAACCAACGGATGCCACAAAGGCTTTCTCAGACCTATTGCCTCCGCTGCCCAAGCAGCTGTCTGGGGAAATACTGAATATCTTCTGTTTTTTCTCCACACCTCCCCCCAAACTTCCCCAACTTGGAGACTGTTTTCACCAGGGGGAACCCAGTTGTACTGAAAGTGAGTTCTGTGGAAAGTCTCTCTGTGGGTGCGATGGGCCTTCAAGCGGTTCTGAGCAGTTGACTGGGTCCTGGTGCCAGAAGCCTTGCTGGCGTAGTGAAGGGGAGTGGAGTTGTTAATAAGGTGGCCTCTGAGCTGGGATCTGGGGCAACTGCCAGCCAGGGTGCTTGGAGAGGCCAGTGGAGAAGGTGAGCCAGAATGTGTAGGGGTGCGGAGAACAACTATCCCCCACCCCTGCTCGCCCTGGCTGCTCGCCTGGCCTCAGATTTGCCTGCATCTGTGGAGCAGATTAAGGGCTCTCTAAGTTCCCCCAAATACCCAGATCTGGTTACTGGTGCGACTGTGTTTTTTCTTGCCTGCTACCTAAATGGGGGAAAGGCTGACAGACGGTCAGTGCCAGGAAGAAGCTGAGTCAGTGGCCTGTGGACCCCGCAGACCTCGGTGGGTGTGAACACTGGGCATTCACCGGCACCTTTCCTAGCCTCCTTCCCTTCTGCAGTCAGGGAAAGGCAGACTGGATGGGAAGGCGAGGATACAAATGTCCGTGAAAAATCCCATGAAAGAAAGGACGGACAGGAGAGGGGCTGGGGCTTCTCCTTGACTCCAGGGCCATAGGGTTCCCCCCAATGCTCTCCTGTCCAGAAAGGCTGGGGGTGCCAGTGCTGGTGCTGAGGCGCTCAGCATTCTTCTGCCTTCTCTTCACTGCTGCCCATCAGACACTAAAGACCTTCTCAGGCTTGGGGACCTCAGCCACCAGGGGTGCTGGGGTGACATGACCCCCAAATTGTACCCCTCACCGGATCCAAGGCCTCTGCTACAGTGCCTCAGCTGCCCCTGTTTATTGTGTCTGTGAGTTGTTTATTTGTTTTGTCTGCTGCCACCCTGCGTCAGAAACCCGCCAAACCAGCAAACTCACCCAGGAGAACAAAGTGCAGCGCTATCCTGAACTCCCTCCCCTTTCCGGCACCCCCGCTCCCGCCATTACCTCCTCCCTCATTCTCCCTTTCCAAGAGAAGGAAGCAGAAATTGTCCTAAAATAGGGCAGCTGTTTATAAGGTTGGGGAATTATGGGGACACCATAAACCCCCAGGGGGCCTGTTGGTGGAGAGACTTGAGCAGCCCTCCTCTTGCCTGGGTTTTTCTTCTTCCTACCCCCTTGCAACTGCTTGGTTGGGGGGCCCCCCCACAGTCGTTGAGAAAGTTGAGCCCCCCTCACTGCCCCGTTCCCCCAGGAGTTGTCTGGGAGATACAGGTTGTTGGGTTTTAAATCAGGGTAATGTTGGCTGATTCACAAAGCCAGATAAAGCATATCGCTTTCCCCTCGCCCTCCCTTCTCCTCAGCCCCCCAATATAGCAGTGAATTTAAGCAAATCCTACAAAATTAAATTGCCCCTTCACTAAAGATCCTATAAATCTTCAGTCCCGCCAGGTGTAGAGTCGGAGAGGCCGCTGTTCGCCTCTAATTTTGCTCCTGGCTATCAAATCTAAAAGAGTATCATCGAAGTAAGTCATATTCCTGTTTCTGAAATTAATTCCCCCTCCCCGTCTTTCTCCCTCTTTCGCCAGCACAGATTAAATGGTTCTTTCAGATCTGCAAACAATAAAGGATAAAATTATTTATAGGGAAATGAGGACTATGTTTCATTGTTAGCTTATTGTTCCAGAACATAATAACATTTTATTTTCAAGTGGGAGAACTTAGACCAGAGGGAGAAGGGGGAAGGGAGGGGGAGCGAGGGGGAGCAGGGCACCCGCACCCAAAACTCTTGCTGTATATAACTTTGATGACATTTACAATTTCCGCCTGACAACTCACTGTGACGTCACAAGTGCCTCGCTCTTGAATTTTGCAATTCTTAGAACCCTCCAAGGTGGGGATGGGTCTGAGCCGAGCTCTGTGTGCAGGGGTGTAGTACATGCCAGGAAGTTGGGGAGCCTTAGCCCAGCACTGAACATCATGCCCGGGTTGCCTTTCCTTCTTCATCTGAGACTCTCTTGAGGCCTCATTCTGGGAACCAAAAATATTTTGAATATTCTGGGTTTTAATTTTTTCCTCCTTGCCTCAGCAAAACCACTGGCTTTGCATCCCCGAGAGTCACTCATCGTCTGAGCTCCCTCCCCATTCCAAAGCTGTCCGCAAGCCTTCTCCTCAGCTGATCCTCAGCTACTTGGGGTAGAGGTGGGAGGCTTGGGGACCCAAAAAGCCAGAAATGATTTCTCCCAGAGGGAGCCTTAAGAGTCCCAGGCTGAGTGGGCTGGGACAGAGTGCTTGGGACCTATTTTACTTTTTAACCTTCGGTCAGAGAAGTGAATTGAGAAGCCAAACAAATGCCAGTGTGATGTGGCCGTTTGTGTCTGCTGATGGTAGTAGCAGCATTAAGTAGAGTGGCTGTAAGGCAAGGTCGGGCAGAAATCTGGAAAGAGAGGGAGGAGAGAAAATATGACAGGAGTTAGCAGCGCCTTCCACGTACCTTTCTTCTCTGTTTAATTGCAAATAAAGTAAAAGCAGCTAGAGCAGCCTCTGAAGCTCTCAGCTCAAAGGATGGGTCCCAGCCAGGCCTCTGAGGTGTTGGGGCAGTTCTCAGGCACTTGCCATGCCCCATCTGGCCTCTTCCTCCTTCCCCCCTGCCCACTGACCCCCAACTTTGTTCAGCTGGCCAGCCTCTGATACTGTCCCCAAACTATCAGCAGCCCCAGATGGGGTCCTTTGCCAGGTTGGATATGTTGAATTTCATTTTTCTCCATGTGTGTCCACCACGTCTGAACTTTGAAAAGAGGAATGTTCTTTTTTGGAATGCAGCTTGTGTATGGGGAGCGAGGTGCTCAGACAACTTCCCCCACCAAATGTATGAAAAACTGGGGGTTTCTTGGGTGAGCTGTGCTTTGGTAGCTCCAAGCAGACCCAGTTCCCCGCGTTCAGGTTCTCTGGCAGACTCTGTAATCCTTTTACTCAGGATTCTGTGGAGATCAAAGGATCTTGTACACAAAACACTAGGCATTTAGAGTAGGTTTTTTTTTTTAATTTTAAAATAAAACCATCTAATCATAAGCCAGTCCGGCCAACTGAGCAGTTGCTTTAGAACAGCAAAGCCTAAATCAAACAGTGCGATTGCAAGGTGAGCTGAACAATTAATGAAACTCGGCTTTCTCTGCAAAAGGGATTTCAGCCTCACCCAGTGGCACAAAAAAAGGCCAGCCGGTGGGGCAGTCGCTCCTCTCCCCGCCCTGAAATCCAGAATTAGGAAGAGGGGTATGTGGCTGCAGTGGCTTCCAGGCTGTTAAGCACCCAGGCCAACCTCTGAGCTCTGCAGCTCCAGTGTCCGAGCCCCTGAGCTGCCTCCGGAGGCTGCGGGCTGTTGCTGGTGGCGCCGGCAGCCAGGCAGCCAGGAATGGTGTCTCTCTGTGTGCGAGGCTGGGTGAGTCACAGCGTCCACGCAGAGTTGGGGGATCTAGGAGAGAGAGTAGACCACCAGAAGGCAAACCAAGGGGACCTCTAGAAAAGACAGACGCCAAATAAAAATTCCAGATCTCCTCCCTTTCATATCAGACACCCTTCCCCACGAAATTGATAGATTTCCCACTACAGAGTAGAAAGCAAAGACAGGCAAGGTGAGGCCTGTCCATAAACCCCTTCAGGGCCAGAGGCCAGTCCTGCTACCTCCGCCTCAGTTCAGAGCTACACAGGGCCCCAGCTCCTGAGCCAGGAGCTGGGTGAGGTTGGAGCAGGAACAGTGAGACTTGCCCCGGGAAACCCCCAGTGTCCAGCGTCCAGGGCAACCCTCAGCATTGGGGACTCCAGGCCAGTGACTGCTCCCCACTCAGGCCATGGCGCCTGCAGTGAGTTCCTCTCCTATAATTAGTGCTCAAGAAAAGCATGTGTTTTGGATGGGGGGGGTGTAAACTGGAGCAGCTAGCAGCAACTCCCCCCCCCCTTTATTCCTTTTCTGTGTTTTTAGAATTCTGTTTTTGAATCCACTAATTACAACTTGGAAAGCAAAAATCTGCTCTTGCCGCCAGTTCCCTCCTAATGCCTGATTTGGGAGGCCGAAGGGGCAGAGCAACTCAGAGACCTGCGGGCCTGATGGGGGGTGTTCTCTGATTTCTCTTGGCTCATTTTATAGAAACAAAGAACAAGTTCTCCCCCCACACACACACCCGCCAGGACTTGAGCATATTTACAGAGCTCAACTGCAGTTTTAATAAAACATCTGTTCTTGCTTCTGCTGATGAGTTTCCATAATTGTTTTCAGACAAATTTAACAGGAAAATATAAATATATATTTTTAAAAGCCCCAATCCTAGCTTTCCCCCCATAGAAAGTGGTTCTTTTGCTCCCAAAATAGAATTAACGTGAAATAAGAAAAGGAAAATACAACCCTATAGAGGGAAGATCGGACTCATTTGACCTGCTCTCCCCCCTTGGAGCGAATCCTGCCAGCACATTTCAGCTGCATCATTAAAGATGTAACTGAAAGAGGAGACTTCTTTCCTCATGAGCCGAAGGTGAGGGGGACGGATGTGTTGGAAATTAATTTTACTGAGTCTTTAAGTAGTGGGGGAATTTATTTGTATTTCTGCTTCCCCTTGTCTCCCCCTTCCAGCATTTCTGCCTTTTTCCCCCAGCAGCTGGTTTCTGTTCATTATAAACCGGCAAGACCTTTCGGTCTCTGCCCTCTGTTTAGGGACGTCATAAAACACTTAACTTTCTGGGGCTGAGACTTACATTCTGCTCCTCAGGTTGCCCACCCCCACGACCAGTGCCTTTAGGCCCCAAAAGAGACTCTCCCCAACTTTGCCGCCCCCTCTCCCTGCAGACTGGGCTTGGGAGGATGCCCCTCTCCCAGGCATCCTTGCTAGGGAGCTGCAGCAGAAGCCCCTTCTTTCTTCCCAGGTCTTTCCTTCTCCCACCCACCCATGAAAGAGATTTAAAAATACGTAGAAAATCAACACTCATTGAAAGCAAAACCTCATTAAGGCATCCTATCTTCCATCATTCAATTTGTTGAACATTGCAACAATTTAATATCTTGAAGGAAATATCACTGACATGATTTATCCCTCTAGCAATCTCTCTCCGAAATGGGGGTGGTGGTGGTGGAATTTACTCTCTCTTTTGGCCTGTTCTACACATGCTACCTCTCCCCCTTAGGGCAGAAATGAGGCTGGGAGCTCTGAGAGGGTTTGCCTGTGTCCAGGGGTGCACTGACTTGTTCCTTAGCTCAGCCCTCTGGGATTTCTCTCGCCCAGCTCTCTCTCCCTCTGCATCTTGCCCTCCAGGGGGCCTGGAGCCCCAGCCAGCTGTTGGAAACCTCTGCCCAGGCATGCCATGAATTCGAGGACAGCTGGATTCGAGACCGAAAAGCCATTCACGCTGGTGTCTGTTTGTGTACCTGCCATGTCACCCCCAATATGAGATAACATCTCAAAATTTCCCTCTTATTTTAAGAAGCTTCTCTACCCTTTTACCTTCATCTCCTCGGGGAGAACAAAGTATGGTCTAAGAGGAGGAACCTTTCTAATTATAGGGGTCTCACCCCCACCCTTTTTAATGGCAACAAATTCCCCTCCTTGCTGCACGATGGGGGATGTAGTTTTAAGACACAACACAAATCGTCTGGCAGGAAGACTCTTCAATTCCATAACGAGGTTCATGTATTAACTAACATGTTGTCTCCACCAGCTCCTACACATTGTCTGCTTTTGGGTTCAAAACTTTATTTTTCCCCCCTAGCGACACTCCAGGGAAACCTTAACGTTACAGAAGATGAATAAACGAGTTTTTTCCCAGCGTAGTCCCGTTTATGGCTTTATTGCTACCCATTGATTACTCCGCTTTGTTACACAGAAGGAAAAGATCATAAAATCCGGCGACATCCGGGTTCTTGTTATAGCCAGTCCCCCCCAAAAAAAATGGGAGGGGAAAATATGAGCTTTCACTGCTTGCTCCCTCTCCTCGCCCCATCGCCCATTCTTTGTCAACTCAAAGCATTTTCAGCCTATGTCACGATATCAAATTAAGTTTGGATTAATCAGGAGAAAAACCCCATCTGCACACCTTCCGCTGGTTCAGCTCGCTCCCTGCGGCTCCCTGAGAAGTCTCGGCCTCAGCTGCCTTTCCCTAACCTCCTCTTCCTTCTTCTCAGCCCCAAGGTGGAAAACATGGGGGTAGGGGCTGCTGAGAGGCTGGGCCCCACCAGGTGTGGCGGGTCCTTGGGTGAGAGCCCTTGGCTGGAATCTCCCAGCCCCAGAGCTCTGGTCCTGGGGCGCCTCCCTTGGCAGGGCAGGGTCTGGAGGGGCCAGGGGGCTTCTGACCTGTGCAGGGGCTTTAGCCTAACTGTCCATCAGAGCCCCACCAGCCTTCTCTGGCAGGATCCTGTGAATTACCCCACCAGCCCTGGCTGCCTCTAAATCATAAATTCTCACCAACATAAACAGGAGTTGATGTGTCTAGTAAGACTCTCAGAGTTCTTTCTTCTTCCTCTCTCTCTCTCTCTCTCCCACCTTTACTGCTTTCTCTCCTTTTTCTATTGTATTTTTGTACATTATTCCCTTGTAGGCAAAAATGCTGTAGGATTCCCCCCACCAAAAAAAAAAAAAAAAAAAAAACGGGGGTCCTGAGGAGGCAGAGGGGCTTAGGAGGAAAAGGAAAGCAAATGTATAGCCTGTGTGTCCACTTGAGCTCTGCCACTGCACCTCAAAGTCTCACTGTCACCCCTTTAGTCTGCATTGTTTCCCACATCCCTCCTGTACCCCAAACTCTCAGTCACACTCTCCTTCCGCTGAAAGCCACGTTTTATTCCATTTCTTTCTACTTTTGATTTTTTTTTAATTGCTGGGAAATGATTTAGTGATGAAGATCACTCCAAGAGTGTCAAAGCAGGATTTCTGGTAGGATTTCTGGGGGTCCCCCTGAGTAGGGAGGGATCTCCTCCCAGAGAGAAATCAGGGTGTGATTTTAGAAGGGGGGAAATATAGATGAAATCAGATTAAAAAAAAAAATACAGACAGGGGTTTCTGCAGCCCTGACTCTGGCCACAGCACAGCAAAGTTAGCTGCTGGGGCTGAGGGACTTCCTGGGCGTGCAGCTCGCCTGCCTTTGGCCGCAGGGCCCTGCTCGCCGCCGGTCCCCCTTCCTTCACCTCCAAATCAGTTCTCTTCCATATATATTTTAAAAAAGAAACCCAAGTCTTACTTTCAAAGCACACACTTAGTCTCAACTAGGGAATCAACAGAAGCAGAAGCGATTTTTTTCCCCCTTCTTGACATCTGGCTCGCGATTGGCTGCAAGAGGGTCAGCTGACTTTGTCATTTTGTCTGTCCTGGATTGGAGCCGTCCCTATAACCATCTAGTTCCGAGTACAAACTGGAGACAGAAATAAATATTAAAGAAATCATAGCCCGACCAGGTAAAGGCACAGGGATGAATTCCTACTTCACTAACCCTTCCCTATCCTGCCACCTCGCCGGGGGCCAGGACGTTCTCCCCAGCGTCGGCCTCAATTCCACCGCCTATGATCCAGTGAGGCATTTCTCGACCTATGGAGCTGCCGTTGCTCAGAACCGGATCTACTCGACTCCCTTTTATTCGCCACAGGAGAATGTCGTGTTCAGTTCCAGCCGGGGGCCGTATGACTATGGATCTAATTCCTTTTACCAGGAGAAAGACATGCTCTCAAACTGCAGACAAAACACCTTAGGACATAACACACAGACCTCAATCGCTCAGGATTTTAGTTCTGAGCAGGGCAGGACTGCGCCCCAGGACCAGAAAGCCAGTATCCAGATTTACCCCTGGATGCAGCGAATGAATTCGCACAGTGGTGAGTTTTACAGCTCCGAGATATAAATTAAATAAACTGAACTGGCTTTATGACCGGCTTCCCTAGAAGAACGGGCGGAGAGAGTTTTTTATGGCCCCATAAAAACAATCACGCTCGTCTCCCCGCCGACGCCGAGACAGGGCCCCTCTTCTGCCCCCTCCGCTCGCCTCCCGCTTGCTCGCAGGAGCCTGGCCCCCTCGGCCCCTGACGGATTGGAGGGCTCTGGGCGAGCTGAGGGGGCAGGAGCAGGGCAGGGGGTGAGGGGAGGGGGCAGGGGTGGAGGAGCCCCCCAAAGTCAAGTCAGGCTAAGGGAGAAGGGCGGGGGAGAAGAGAGGGCACAGAAGTGGGGAGAAGTTTCCCAGGAGCTAGCTAGGGTGCCGGGGGAGGTGGGGGTGCCCAGTCTTAGAGGAACGGGGCCCTCATCCCCAGGGCTGGGGATTTTGCAAAAATTAGCTTTTAGGCTCACAGTTTTCAGCCAGGCTCTTGCGGCCCCCCCCACCCCCCAATCGCCCCATCTGTGGGGGACTGAATGAAGTTGGGCTCCTGGCGGCGCCCCAGTGGGGGTGGGGCGGGGCAGGGGAGCAGGCTGGAGCCGGAGGGAGGCCGCCACTGCTGGCTAAGTTGGGAGGGTCAGGACTGGGCGAGGCGCAGCCGGGTGCAGGGGGTGCCTCGCTGATTGTTTTTAGTGTGTTTTGTGCCCGGGTCTCCAGGGGTCGGCTACGGAGCGGACCGGAGGCGCGGCCGCCAGATCTACTCGCGGTACCAGACGCTGGAACTCGAGAAGGAATTTCACTTCAACCGCTACCTAACGCGGCGCCGGCGCATCGAGATCGCCAACGCGCTCTGCCTGACCGAGCGGCAGATCAAAATCTGGTTCCAGAACCGCCGCATGAAGTGGAAAAAAGAATCTAACCTCACGTCCACGCTCTCAGGGGGCGGCGGAGGGGCCTCGGCCGACAGCCTGGGCGGAAAAGAGGAGAAGCGGGAAGAGACAGAAGATGAGAAGCAGAAGGAGTGACCGGGACGCCCCGCCACCCGCCCCTCGCCCCGAACCCCTCCAGAACCACACACTCCGTATTTATCACTGGCACAATGGCTGTGTTTTGACTCCCTAAAACCAAATTGAGGAGGCAGATGTGGACCTGAAAGTCAACTCTGGACCCCCCCTCCGCACAAACTCTCGCCACCACGCGCCTCCTGCTCCCTGCTCCCTCCCCAGCTCGCTCGGCTTGTCTGCAGGCCCCTTCCCGGCCGAGGCCTCGGGGGTCGGCCCCTGAATCTCACTGCGGAGCCCCCGTCTCCCTCCGCAGGAGACCTGGGCCTCCAGCCCCCTCGGCGCCCCCCTCTCTCCCCGCAGAGAGCCGGGTCCCGGGTCCCGGGCCTCCACTCCGGGCCTCTGGGCCCGGCCAGGCCGCCGGGGAGGGCGGGAGGCCCGAGGAGGGCGAGTCGTGGCCCCACAGCCACCCCCGGCCCGCCCCCCACCCCAGCCGCAGCCCCTGCCCTCCGCCCCAGCAAATGCCCAGCCCAGGCAAATTGTATTTAAAGAATCCTGGGGGTCATTATGGCATATTACAAACTGTGACCGTTTCTGTGTGAATATTTTTAGCTGTATTTGTGGTCTCTGTATTTATATTTATGTTTAGCACCGTCCGTGTCCCAAGCCCATCTTGAAAAAGGAAAAAAAAAAAAAGAGGGAAAATTACAAAAAGAGAGAAAAAAAGTGAATGACGTTTGTTTAGCCAGTAGGAGAAAAAATAAATTAAAAAAATCCCCTCGTGTTACCCTCCTGTATAAATCCGACCTCTGGATCCGTTCTCGAATATTTAATAAAACTGATATTATTTTTAAAAGTTTATATCGGGATTTCTGTGAATTCGCTCGCCCGCCGACCTGGGGTGAAAGTTGGAGCAGGCTTGGCGCGCTCGGCAGCTGCCCGCCCCGGCCCCTGGGCTCGCCTTCCCGGCGCGGGGCGTGGAGTCCGGCCTCCCCCTTCTCCTGGCGACCGCTCTGGGGTTGAGGGGGGCGGCCGGGAGGCCTCTCTGGGCGCCCTGCGCAGAGCTGCACACTCACCCCACAAAAGAGGCCGCCTAGGATTTCGTGGGGGGGCGGGGGTGAGCCGGGCTGGGCCGGCTGGGTCCCCAGCCCCACACAGGCCTTTCTTCCTGCCTGTGGTTATCTGGGGTCCTCGGCTTCGGGACCCCGAGCCCCAAAAGGCCAGAAAAGAAGCATGATCCCAGCACCAGGGTCACCCCCCGCCGCCCCCTCCCTGCGCCCCGGGCCCACTCCCCGGCGCGCGGAGGGGGCGCGCGCGCGAGCAGCCCCGGGCCTGCGCCAGGACGACTGTTGCGAAACGTGGCGGAGGCGGAGATCGAGGGGAGAGCAGGCCGCGGGGCTGGAGAGGAGCCTGCGGCCGGGACTGAGCGATTCAAGGACATCACCAAACAGAAACCCAGCTCGCGCCTGCCCTGGGACGCCGGACGGAGCCGGGACAAAATGCCTCCTTCCTGCAGCCCAGGCCCCGCCTGGCTCCCGACTCTTTCTTCTCCCCTCGCACTCGCGGGTGAGGAGCGCAGCCAGGCCCGACCCCTTCCCCGGCCTGGGCCTGCTTCCCCTAAGCGCCGCCAGAGAAACTGGAGTGGCCCCAGGGGATGAGGCAGCGAGGGGTCTCCCCGAGGGGGGAAAAATCGCCAGAGTTTCCCAGACCTCCCAGATCCCCGCCAGCGCCCCCTCCAGAGCCTCCGCCAGCGGGCGGGAGGGGGCTCCTGGCAGGGGCGGAGATTTCCTGGGGAAAGACAGGCAGGAAAGAATAAGGCTTGGGGCTACCAGAGGAGGATCAGGAAGGGGCCAGTGGCTGCGGAGCCCCTGGCCGCAGGCTGTGAAGGTTGCCCAGGCGCCTGCCCTGCCCATCCCCCACCCCACCTCAGCCAGGTCCTTTCCAAGCCTTCAAATAGCCTAGAAATTGCTCTCCAGTGAAACTTGTGGATCCAGGTCCCTGGGACCCTGGTCCAGAGGCCTCTCCCCAAAGGGCACAAAACAAGCCTTTTCCTCTGCCCTGCTCTGCTTAATATTTGTGGAGGCTTGAGTCTTGCTTCTGCAGGCCTCCAGTTAATGTCTCTTTCCTATTCAAAATCTAGGCTTGGGTCCCACGTGTGCCACAGGCACCACACAAGGGCCACGCAGGGCACGCGAGCGCTCTTCCAGCGAACGTGCCTGGTTCTTTACCCCCCCACGCCCCCACACACATTTGAAAACTGCCTTGTTGTCACTCTGAAGCCCCTGGCATGGTGAGGAGATCTATTTAACTCTAGGAGGGAGTGGGGGACCAGCGAGGGTCCTCACCTCCAGACATCTCAGAGTCAACACTCTCAGCCTCATGACCCCCCCCAATCGAGCTCTGCCCCCCCAGAACCCCTCCTCCTGAGCCTCTTTTCTACCTCTCCAGAGGCTGGGTTCACTCTCCCTGACTGACAGGCACCTCCTGATCAGCAGCAAGGCCTTGGGGCCTCCGAAAAGAAGGGACCTAGAGACCCTTGGCTTAGAGAATCTGAGGTGAACCCACACCTTTTCCAACCAGGGCAGGGACCTTATCCTACCAAAATCCCCTGCCCTCAGCCAGTTTTTGGAGAGTGGAAGGCCCTGGGGGTAGGGAAAGTGGGGCTCTCCGTTACCAAAATCCCCTCTGTGAGCCCGAAAGGACGCCTCCTCTTTCCTTAAAATTAACTGCAGCTGAAAAGCCCATTGCAGGGCCCTGGTGCAGCAGCAACCAGCTTCTCCTCTACAGGGCCGAGCCCGGCGGCGAGCCTGCGCGCCAGGCTGCAATTCCTACAAACAGACACCAGGTGTCGCTGTGGGCTCGTTGTCCCGGCTACCCCCCAATACCAAGAACCATTTTTTTTTCTTCTCCCCCTTCCCTCTCTTTCTCTCTCTCTCCCTCTCCCCCTTGGTTGGGCTTTGCCAACATATCAAGATACGTTTCGCCGGCTTCCATCACTAACCTCCCGGAGGTCATCAAGCCAAATTTATGAGTGGCCGCTCGAGTCACGTGACTCTATTTAAGGCTCCCTTATTTGGGAAGAGCGCATAGGATAAAGAAAGAGATATCTCCACCTATAAATTGTGCACTTTGGAGAACAAAAAACCCCTCAACTTCAAAGAGTCACAAATCACCCTTAATCAAAAAGGGTGCAGAAATTTTTTTTGGGCCCTCCCCGCCATGAGCTCCTACGTAGCCAATTCATTCTATAAGCAGAGCCCCAATATCCCTGCCTATAACATGCAAACTTGTGGGAACTATGGATCGGCCTCAGAGGTGCAGGCATCCAGGTACTGCTACGGCGGATTGGACTTAAGCATCACTTTCCCACCGCCTGCGCCTTCCAACTCTCTCCACGGGGTAGACATGGCTGCCAACCCCCGGGCTCACCCCGACCGCCCCGCCTGCAGCGCCGCGGCCGCTCCGGGACACGCTCTGGGCAGAGACGAAGCGGCTCCTCTGAACCCCGGGATGTACAGTCAGAAGGCGGCTCGCCCAGCGCTGGAGGAGCGAGCTAAGAGCAGTGGGGAGATCAAAGAGGAGCAGGCGCAGACAGGGCAGCCCGCCGGACTGAGCCAGCCACCGGCCCCGCCACAGATTTACCCGTGGATGACCAAACTGCACATGAGCCACGGTAAACTTTAGGACTTCATTTTGCGCGCTCGGGTCCGCCTGGGTTTTATAGGCCATGCGGGGCAAATAAAGAAAAAAAACCTGCGGCCATAAATTTTACGATCCAGGCATCAATGGCTCGTAAAACTGTCCACTAAAAGGCTTAGAGGCTGTGTGCGCCCAAATTTACGACGACATAATTGGATCATAGGAACAAAACGTGTATAAAAGGCAATATTCAATTTTTGGGGGAGAGGGAGGGAGTTAAAAAAATAGAGGGATCTGCAGGGTGAGGAGCGCGGGGCTCCGGCGCGGGGATCCCCCCGCGGCTCCCTCCCTCCCTCCCCCGCGGAGTCGGCTCGGCGGGCGCGGCCGCGCCGGAGGATTCCAGAGACTCGGGAGGGGCGGGAGGGGGGTCCCCCGTGCTCGGATCTCGAGGGTGTTATTGTTCGGTCCGAGCCCGGGTCTCCCTCTCCCCCCAGCCCCCCAGCCCCCCAGCCCCTCCGGCGGCCGCGCCGAGGCCGCGGCGCCAAGTTCGCGGCCCGGCGGCGGCGCCCCCCGGCCGGCCCGGCCCGGCCCGCTCCCCGCCGGCCCGCTCGCCCCGCGGCGCGGGTGGGGCCGGGGCCCGGCCGGGCGGGGCGCGGGGGCGCTGCGCGCGGTTCACCCCTGCGGGCTTGGGGGGTTGTGTTCCAGAGACCGACGGCAAGCGGTCCCGAACCAGCTACACGCGCTACCAGACCCTGGAGCTGGAGAAGGAATTCCACTTTAACCGCTACCTCACCCGCCGCCGGCGCATAGAGATCGCCAACAACTTGTGTCTCAACGAGAGACAGATCAAGATCTGGTTCCAGAACCGCAGGATGAAGTGGAAGAAAGATTCCAAAATGAAAAGCAAAGAGGCTCTCTAGAGGCCGGCCCGGGGCCGCGCCCGAGCCCGCCGGCCGCGCTCTCCCGCGTCCTCCCGGGTCCGCCCCGCGGGCGCCGGCCCCGGGCCTCGCGGACCCGAGCGCCCCCCCACCCCGCGGCCCTCCGCACCCCCGACCCCAGGCTCCCGCGGGGCGGCCCGCGCGCCGGGGCTCCCCCCAGCCCGGCCCGGCCCGGCCCGGGCCCCGGGCGCGCTCGGCGGGGCCGCCCCGGAGGGCCGCGGCGGGCGGGCGGGGGCTGAGGGAGCCCCCGAGCAGGGCCGGGCCCCCCGGGCGCCCTGCCCCGCGCGGCTGCTGGAGTCCAGGTGGGCCCCGGGGCGCCGCGGCCTGCTCCCCGGCCCTCCGGCCTGCCCTGTCCTTTGTTCGCGGCTGGCCGGCCGGGTCGCCACGGCTGCCGGCTGCCGAGAGGCTGGCGGTGCCTGGCAGAGTCGGCGGGTTCTCGGGTTCTCGGGGTGCTGCATTGTAGCGACCAAATTCAATCTTCATCTTTTAATAATTTGCATATGAAAGGGGGAGCTGGCTGGACCTCTGCTAGGGCCCCCTCGGTCGCCCCAAGCCCTCCAATCTTCTCCCACCCTCCAGGAGCCCGGGAGCCCCTCCGGCCTGCGCCCCCTGCATGCCCTCTCTGCTCCCCAGCCTGAGAACACTAGCTAGCTCAACGACTGGGGTTCCCTGCCACGGAACCCCAGCAAGAGGTCCTAGAGACTCTTGGCTGCCCAGTAGTCCCCGCCACGACTCTGTCCTCTGCCCCCTTGCTGTTGTCCAACTATTTATTGACTCCGGGTTTTTCCTGAAACTATATTTTGTCATATCAAATAAAGACAAAGAGAGAACAGGACGAAAGACACAGGACTCCTCTCTGTTTGGGGCACGGATTGGGTGAAAGTGGCTACCTGGGCAGAGGGGTGCAGGGGGAGGCGCACAGCCTTAGAGCCTCTCCTTTAAGAGCATTTTGAGGAGCTTCTAGGAGTTGAGAAGAGGGACTAAAATTTTGCTTCTTTCCTGATCCCTGGGATAGGGGGCAGGGGAGGGCGCCCAAGCCATCTGTGCAGGCCCCCCGAGCTGCTGCGCTGGCCAAGGCAGCAGGCCCCACACCCGCTTCCCACCTTGGCTGCGTATATCAGACTCTTAGGCTGGCAGCGGCCCCCACGGCCTGCCAGCGTGCATCTGCCAGGGATGGTGGTGGCTCCGCAGGGCAGGGCTCTGAGTCAGGCCCTTCTGGGCCTCTTTCGGTGTCTGGAAGGACTGGGTGGTGCCTGTGGGGCTTCACTGGACAGAGAGGGAGGGCTGATCCTTCAGCCTAGGGTCCCTTTGGTCCCAGAAGGACCCTCAGAAAGAGCTGGCACTGTTCCGTTGAGAGGGTGCTGGGGGATGGAGGTGTGTCTCAATTTTCTGAAATGATGCGTAAGAGGGGCGCACGGAGTGCACTCTGCAACGTGTACCTGTCTAGCAGGGGGCCTCCAGACTGTCTCCCCCACCTTCTAGGGCCTAGGGCTATGCAGGACAATTAGCTGGGAATGAAACTGCATAGACCAGTGCCTGAGTCGTCTGTTCACCGTCATTTATCTCAGTCTCTGAGATTTTGTGCGGAGGGGGAGGGTGGCCTAGAGGGAAGGGGAAAGGCAGATAATTCAGGTGGTGCCCGAGGCTGCTCTAGGCCCACGCTCTGCTCTGCTCCAGGCTCCTGGGACAGGGTGGGGGAGGAAGTACTTTATAGGAGAAACAAATGTGGGAAGGGTCCATAAAACTTTACTGCATTTCCTCTCCTGCCTCCCACAATGGGGTAATTTCCTGGAGCCAAGCCTAGGCCCCCCACACTGGTTGGGGGGAGGGTTCAGGAGCCTGGCTAGAAGGCTGCTCCCGCAGCAAGAGGGAAAGGGAGCAGAGAGGTTCTGGGGAGGGGCAGGGGGAATATTTATGATTATTAATGCTGATGTTCCTTGGATTTATTATAAGGACTGACTTCTCTGCATCCCACTGTCTAAGCTTCCCAGCTGCCCTTTTTTAAAAGACCTGCCAGCCTGAGCCCCTGCTTAACACTTAGGACTTCGCCACATCTGTGTACTGAACTGTGCCCCCTGCCACCACCCTTCCCCTTTCACACTGCACCCAGCAAAGGTTAGGGTGCCAGTAATGGTCCTGTCTGCTCTGAACACAGCAGTCAGCCCAGCCAACTCATCTCCACCTCCTGCTCTCTCTCTCTCTCTCTCTCTCTCTCTCTCTCTCTCTCTCTCTGTCTCTCTCTCTCTCTCTCCCCCCCTCCCTCCCTCTCTAATAAAATGTGTAATTTTCTTCAGGGAGTTATTTTAATTTTTTCTCCATGCTGAGTAAAACTATTGGGCAGGCAGTGAAGCGAGGAGAAGGACTGGAGTCTCCAATGGGTAACAGTTAACTAAGAAAGAGGCTGAGACCGGCCCGCGCCAGCCTCCCTGGCTGCGGAGACCCTGCGCTTCCTCCCCAGGGCACTCACTGCCCCGGAAGAACCGAGGGCTGTGCCAGGGGTAAGGGCAACGTTGCTCAGACCCACTGGGCAGGGCGCCTTGGCCCTGCCAGGCACTCAGAGTGTCCTCCTGGCAGGGTCTGGGCCCTCTCTTCCTGGAGGAGCTGGAATACTGACTCACTGACCAGGCAGGGGAAGACGCAGTCCTGCCTGCCAGTCTCCCACTCCTGCCACAGTCTGCAGGCCTGCGCCCAGGCCCCAGCCTCTGCCTCCGCAGCGACAGCGGCCACAGCCTAGGCAGAGGCCTCCGACCTGCCCCAAGCACTGGGAGTCGGTCTGGCCCCCACACCCTCTCTTCCTTTCTGAGCAAAGGCCTCTGCTTTGCAGCCTGGGGTGGTTCCCGACCAGCCAGACTCCTAGAACACTCTCCAAGTTCCAGGCTTTGGAACTGCTCTGAGGAAGTTAGTGGAGGGGCTTCTGAGTCCCAAACAGAGACCAGGGAGACCTCTTCACGCTGCCCTGAAACCCACCCACTCTGGTATTGAGAAAAAAGGGGAAGAAGCGTGACTTACCTTCCTGGGGGAGTGGGCAGAGGGGGGACACCGCCCACTCTGAGCAATTAGAGGAGAGAGGAGGAGAAAAATGAGAGGAAAAAAATATCAACACGACCTCGAAGGCGACAGGTCCTTATGGAAATAAGTTAGTAAGTAAATAAATAAATAAGGATCCACCCTCTCCCCCCCCACCCTGCAGGGGGGGTGTGGGGGTGGGGCAAGGAGGAGCACCCGGGCTTTTTAGTGTCACTGAGCATTAGAGAAACACGCATGGCTTCTATGTGAATTTAGGAGTTTGAAACTTTTGGAGGTTATTTATGTGAATGGCCTGAAGGCAAGGCCGTGAGTGGCTCTTGGGGGACCACGTGATGTCATTAAACCAAGTTTTATGGTGTAGGGAGAGCTGACAAACCCACAATATATTTACATCATATATAATCTTAACTGTCCAGCCACGCAGCTGCTGGTGAGGTTTAATGCTAGGACAGAGGGCCTGGCAGTTAGAGGGGATTACGGCGCTGGGGATGGTGGTGAGAGAGGTTACATCTTCGCAAATGAATCCCAGGCGAATGCTGTAAGTTAATTTTCTCTCTCTGACCCTTTCTCCCGTTTACCTAATCTCCTCTCCGGGTTAGAGGCAGTTCCCACTCATTAAGGGGCGGGAAGGAAGGCCTCCCTCGGCCTGCCCAGGCTGGTGGCAGAGGAAGAGCAGAAGCCGCTGGGAACTGGAAGGGCAGGGGAGCCTGCCTCTCCCAGACCAGCCCGCTCCTCCCAGCCCCTCAGTCCCTCCAGCTGCAGCTCCACTGGGGCACCGAGAGGCCTGGGTTCTTCAGGAATCTGTTAGGACTTCCTGACCGCTGTTCCCTCCTCAGTTGGGAGGCGCTTGGGTGTTTTTTGTTTGTAGGAGCCTGTAAACTCCAGGCGCAAGCGCAAAGTGCCTCTGGGGCCCCTGATCCAGGGAGGGGCCAGTTTAGTCCTTGGCTGGTAGCCCAGAGCCCAGGCAGGGCAGGCAGTTGGGGAAGGAGGCAGGGATGGGGAGATTTGGGACTTCTGAGGCCACAGGCTGTGACCTGAAAAGGCAGAAGCATCTGAAAAGTAGTTGACTGAGCTCTGGGGTGGGCAGCTGATTCAGCCTCCATAGTCTGGGGTCTTAGTTGTCTGGGGCCAGTGCCCTCTAACTGTTGGGGTCTTTCCTGGCATCCTTAGGCCTAGCCTGCGGAAAAACTAGGACCCAGGAAGCCTAGAGGTTCCTCCTATGGGCGGAGGATCAATGGGTGGGGGTTGGAAGCACAGTCACTAGTAGGCTGGCCAGAGAAGTCCCCAGTCCAAAGAGAGCAGAGCCTGTAGGCCAGGAGCCAACAGGGCCTGTATGGGCACCGTGCCCTGGGGCCCCTCTCAGCCTGGGGCTTCCTTCAGGTTTCTAGGAAGGAGCAGCAGAGGCTTGGGGCGTGGGAGGCTGTGCCCTCCATACCTTCCAGTGTGTTCTCCCCAAACTTCACCGGGACCTAAGGCAGGAAAGCCACAGCTAATGAACTCCTTGAAGGACTGACTCTGAACCCCAGGGACTGAGGCAGAAGCAGGGTGGCGGGTGAAAGGGGAACTCTGGAAGGCAATTCGTCCAGGTCTGGGGGTGGGGAGGAGAAGGGGAGGAAAATGGAGGGGGCATGTGCCTTCCCAGAGGAGGAGGGGTTGGCTGGGAATACCCGGGGGTCTGGGCACTGGCTTGGTGGAGAGGGGCGGCTGGTTGGGGGATGGGGAAAGGGCAATATCAGCGTGCCCCCTGCCCTCCAAGGGAGGCCCAGGAGAGGGAAGGGAGCAGAGTTGGAGAGCCCAGGCTCTGGGAGTGTGAGGGGTGGCAGAGGCCTTGGGCTAAGAGGCCTCTGAGCCAGTGCCCCATCCCTTGCTCCAGCGATCTCGCCCCTAAGTGAGCAGCAGCCCTGTGGCCTCCTTCCCTCCAGGGGCTCAGTTTGGCTTCAAGACTTGGCCTTGACCCTCTCCCCACTCCTTTAAGTATTTATTTATTTATTGGTGGGAGGGAGAGCCTTAGGATCCCAGGATCCCCAACAGTCCTTTGGAAAAGTTAACTGCCAGCTTCTCCCTTCCTCCCTGTCTGTCCCGCACTCTCCCCTCCCCTGCAGTCTGTGATTTTGAGGGTTTCTGAGAACTTTCCCAGGAAGCAGTAGTGAGAACGGCGTTTCCCCTGGTCTATGACTTGACTCTTCCCTTCCTTCTCCCTCCCCAGGGCCTTAGGGAGCAAGTTTGATGGTCTTAACCAAGAATTTAGCAAGGGCCAAAGCTTCCCTGCCAGACAAGACCCCATGACTCCCCAAACCCTAGCAAGCCTCACCCCCTTCGTGCCTGTGATGGGGAATGAGTGTGTTTCTGTTTGACAGACTTCCACAGCACCTCTTGGAGGGCTGTTTCTATGACGTCCTCATTCCCTCTTCTGTCTCCTAGGCTCAAAAGGTCTATTTAGAGATCACCTCTTCCTCCCACCTGGCAATAACAGGCCATCTTCCCCCTCAAATTATTATTATTATTATTGGTACTGTTTTGTAGGACAGTTACCAACAGAAGTAGGACAGATAGAAACAGTGGTCTGAGTTTCTTGATTTCCCACCTCCTCCCCCAGCAAATATTTGGGGTAGCCCTAGAGCAGGAGGGTGAACAGTCCATTAGGTGCCAAGGTGTCCCAGCCCACCTGGAAAGCTTTTAATTTTGTTGCTAAGTCTTCAACCCTACCCGAAGCCAGGTAACCAATCAGGAATGTGTTCGGGAGGATCACATGGTTCCCACTGACCAATCAGTCAAAAAAGCACTTGGGTCTCCGTCTCCCCATCACCCTTTATAACTCTTGGGTGTGCCCTAGATGCTGGGACTATTTTAGCCTTCTCCCTCTGAACCCTGAACTCCCTGAGGAGTCTTTGATGTGTGTCCTCTAGTTCTAAGAAAGTTCTACCTTAAGGTCAAATTCAGCTGTACAGATATCTGAAGTTGTGGTGGTATCCTCTGAATTATTCCCCTAATTCTCCAGCATGGTCCTCCCCAATTCTGGACTTTAGACTATAGAGCAGGTGTATGCCTATGAACTCCAGCCCTGAGTTCAAATTCTGACCACAATTATTTCCAAACACTTACCTCTTGCATGTTTCATGCCCTCCTGAGCCACATGAGAACAGGTGGGATGATTAGAAAAGATGTCTTTGATTTCTTTCTGGAAATGCTCCAGGAAGCATTAGCTTTATCAAACTGCCTCAGGTATGGTTGGGAAAGGGAGTAAAAGTTGTGTTTGTTACCTTCAGTTTATTGAATAATTTTGAACTACTTGAAAGAAGGATTTTGAAAAAGGTTTGTGAGCACAGAAAATCAGGACTCCCCTCCCCATACCAAATAGTTGACACATTTGTTTAACCCCTTCCCGTGTCTTTAACAAGATAAAATGATGGTGGTGGTGGTGGTGGTGCTGGTGGTGATGGTAGTGATGGTGGCGGTCTAAGTGATGACCCTGTTCTTTGGTCAGTATCAGACCACACAGCACTGAAGGTGTGGGTTTGGCATTTGTGTTTACATGGGTGAAGTAAGAACAAGCCTTGGGTAAAAAACTATTTCTGAGCAAGAGCATCTCGTGTCACAGGGAGTGTGCATGTTATGACACAAGTACTTGTGTTTCCTGAACACTCGGGCTGGGCCCTGAGCCAAGTTACTCATGGTCCAGACCCAGACATGGCTCCTCCCACCCCTCAGTGCCCAGGGCTTTGTACTGGGGTTGATTTTCTGGTTGAGCTCCTCTCCCCTCCTCCCCTTCTTCTGCTGGTCTCCAGCCCTCCTTGAGCTGACTCAGGGAAGCAGGTCTGATGGGCTGTGCCACCCAGGCCTCTAAGACTTTGTCAGGGGCATCCAGAGTGCAGCAGTGGGAAGGGTAACCCAGTGTGAGCTGGGCTTTGTCAACACCCCCTGCTTATTTGTCTTCTAGGTAGGGCTGATCTGGGGACAATGCCCCAGGCCAGGTGGGAAGGATTAGGATGAGAAGCCAGAATGAGGGCAGCTCTTCCCAGAAACCACTGCGCTCCCACTCACCTTCTCCCACACCGCTTCATTTACCTTTTCTATGAGTTAGGGTGATAACACACACCTATTTTCCCCTGGCAAGTCTTGTGGGAGTCTTGCAGAGGAAACGGGATGAGGAGGCCCCAGGAGGAGAGATTTTCTTGCCTCACCCCCTCCCAATGGCCAAGTAAACTTTAGCTGCTTCTTTGACTTTACCTGTCTGCATGGAATTGCTTTGGGCTGCTTTTTGAGCTGAAATATCATTGTCCTGGTCTTCAATTTTGTGTTTTCTTCTGCTGGTGGCCTAGAGATGCTTTGAGGTGAAGAAACCTAAGCTGGGGCTTTTGGGGTTAGAGATTCAATTTAAGGAAGAAACTAGACTGTTAGAGGGGCCAAGAAATCACATCCCTTTCCTCCATCCCTTTGTACTGAATCCTTATAACCCAGAATGGTATGTCTACTCTGATATCTCTCTGGAGCCCAGGAGTCTGGACTAAAGATCTGGAGTGATAAACACCTCTTTATCCTTGAACACTATAGAATCCTGGGACTCATCTCCTTCTCCCATTTTTTAAGGCTCACTGAAAGGCAAAATAGGAACAGAGATACCCAGGAGGAAGGAATCAGTGTGTGTGTGTGTGTGTGTGTGTGTGTGTGTGTGTGAGGGAGGAATAGGATGCAATTTGAAACTTAGGAAAATAAGGCTGACCATATTCAGCCTCTGATGACCAGGCCTTAGAAGCAATAATGAGGGGTTAATGGAAGGCTCTGGGCATGCTGGGGAGCCTCAGATATATGCAGAGAAAGATCTACCATTATCTGCAGTTCCACATGAGCTGGGTGGGATCTGAAGGCCCTTAGCTTTAGGCTGCTTGTGCCACCACAGCTGCTGTCAGAGAGGTGAGGCCCTTGTAAGACTTTCTCCCAGCCCCCAGTCCTGAGCACAGAGCACCTAGCCATGCAGAAGCACACGTATGTACACGGTAGGGAGGAAGTGGCCAGAAGTCAAGCTGGACACAATTAACCAGAAGTGAGCCACGTCCCCCTCCTTGTGCTGCCCACAGGAGGCCATTTGTCCCCACCGGCCCCTGCCCCTCCAGCTCTGGACAACAGTTGAGTTTCTTCCCTTCTGCCTCCTGGAAAACCCAAGCCTGGAGCATCCCCACAGATGGCAGCAGCCAGACTCTTGTGACCTTTGGTGTCTCTTGGCCTCTGGAGTTGTGGGGGTTGGAAGGCAATGCAGAGCCACAGCCAGATCCTGATCTTATCTGATCAAATCCCCCCTGGAACCTGCTGTTCCAGCCTCAAATTCCAACTCTCCTGGGTGTGCGTCTTTACTCAGACGGTAGAGGAAACTCTTGTCTAGTAAATATTTCTTTAAAAAGTCAACTTTCTGCCTGGAAAACGCAGTGCGTGTATGTGTGTGTGGCGGGGGTGGGGGTTGTGCATGTGCTTGTGAATGAAAGGAGGAGAGGTCAGGTCCTTCATTTTTGATTGTGTCTCTCCACCTCCTCTGAGTAGAGGATG